TGCAAAATCACGTATTGATATTCAATAAAAGGACCTTGTATCCAGGAGTACAAATTGGATTCTCTTTGTTTAAAGCAATTCTGATTCCCAGATACCACTTTGAAAGAGTCCCCAAAAGACCTTGAAGCCACAGACAAAGTTTATTTGAAAACATAGTTTAAAATTGCACAAATATAAATACAATTTAATAATGTGAAAAAGGGAAGGCATGCTTCCAATAATAGTACAAAAATACTACCTTAATCTTGGTACTTTGCAAATGATAAGCCAACTGGGTAAATTAAACGCATCCATGTGGTAAGAGGTTATTTTTATGGTAGTAATTTTATTTCAAAGAGCAATGCAGGGAAGTACTAAGATGAAGCGTAATACCCAACAGAGTTGTGCTATGATACATAATATTTCACTAAATACACAGATACATTATCATGTAGTATGCCAATAACTTTTACTCCTCCCTCCCATTGCCATTAATTTACAATAGTTCACATAATTTGGGTTGCTTTTAATTTAGAAGCTCAATGTAAACATTTAAAGTTAAAATTTTTATCACAGCTTAAAAACAAAATCCCAAGATTTTAAATATTATTGAACATGATAAGGAAGCATCACTGAAGAATTTTTCTCAAAGCAATAATTTTAGATTAGGCTAGATAGGCAATATTTGTAGATATACAAAATATATAGAAATGTCTTTTCTAAATAGTTAATAAATGCTTGTTATAGTTTGTAAAAAGTTTACTAAATTAATCAGGTTTTTTTCCAACCAATGTAAACAAATTTGGGCAATGAAAATTGAAGAGGTTTTGGGTTAGATGACATGGGGGGAAACTGAAAGGAAGTTGGTAAAAATTTAGGTTTCTTATATTTCCTCTAACTACTGGCAGCATATTCGATCATGAAGTCATTTTCCACATAGCACAATCCTTTTATTGTATCTATGCAAAAATTGTATCTATCTCAGCAAAAATGCCAAACTACTTAGCTGAGTATGTATATCCCTTGGTCCTTCCTGTGTCTTACCATTTCTCTCTCCAAGAAATTTTAAGAAAAAAGTACACATATTTTATTGACAAGCAAGGACCTGTTTCATCTTTTTTTTTTGTTTTCATTTTAATATTATTATGAATGCAGTTTCCTAAAAGTGTCCCACTGAGTCTGTCAGGGTTTGGCTGCCACACTCTGCAACGTTGCAGCTTAATTTTCTCTTGTAGCGAAGGTCCTGAGAAAACAGTTCTGAGACTGGGGCACTTGTTTCTCTAGTGTTATTTTGGTATTTCTGCAGAGGTTGCAGGTAGCAAAAACTTGCTTCAAGGCAAACTACCACGTGAGTTTGTTAAAACTCACACTTTGATTTTCTGGACTTCCCCCCCTCCCCCCTTAACTCTTTAATGTCTCCACACAACAGTCCTTGCTGTGTGTTTGGGAAAGTGTCTTTGAGCTCGTATGTGTGTGTGTGGAGGGGTATGGGGTATATGAAATGGTGGCTAAGCTGTTGCTAACATAAGACCCCTGCTTTGTCTTACTAAGCTTTGTTCTCCCAATTCCTAGTCTCCTTGTCATTATTTTCCCATAAAGTTAAATTTAACTTTACTGGGGTTCCAGTAAAAGGCAGTGAGAGGATTTCCAAGTTTGTTCTGAGTGACCATGAAATCATCTCATCTCCCCTGAATTGCAGTGTTTTTAGCCATAATGACCACGGTCAGTTTCTCAAGGGACAGGGGTCCAAGTGGCTCACCTGCCATACCAATAGGGCTACCTGGAGGTCAGTGCTGTGGCAGGCCACACACTCGCCTTATGATGGTTTTCCTGTGCCTGGTGTTACCCTAACCTCACCACCACCCCTTGTTTAGTATGTCAGTATTTTGGATTTATTCTTAATTTAGAAAAAAAATTCAAATGCATGATTCAGAATTCAGAACTCCAAACTGTGCTGAGGCAGGCAACATGATTTTGTTTAGTAGCATTCAGACATGGACATTTTATTTCAGTTTTGGATCTGTTGTGGCCTCAACTGGCTTTTAGAAATCATTTGAATGTCTAAGTACCTGGATTCCTCATAGGATTAGTTTGGCACTGGCTGCAACACTGCATACATCAGATGTGTAAATATCTGTAAAGTTCAGTGTGATAGCATGAAAGTAATCTCAAGGATAGGATATTAAAAGCAAACAGAAAAACTGTAACACAAAGTTCATGAAAATGCTTCCTTGTTCAGGAGCAAGAAAAAATAAGCTAATCTATGAGACTTAATCATGCACTGGGTAAATTTACATTCAGTAAAGTTATCTTGCATGCTTTGGTTATATTTGAATAGGCAGATTTGCAAGTACTAATGCATGCGATATTTTTGTACCTGAGGTTATATATTTTACTTTTAAAAAATTGCCTTTTTTACAAACCTTATGCCAGAGTTCATCTATGAACACTCTTTAAAAATATATATATATATATATATCTACTTCTTAGTTCAAAACAGTTTAATTTCAACCAGTTCTAGAAATACTGAGATGATAGGGGAAACTGCAGTAAAATCCCAAGAGGGAATGAATGAATTGGAAATTATAATATTTTATAAAGTCGAAATCATGTGTGTGCACGTGTAACAATTTCTAAAATTTCTAAAAATAATTTCAAAAAGATGGCACACTTACTAAACTTTCAGAATACCCTTTTTTAGAATTCTTTTAGACTCCAAGGTATACAATAATAGCAGCGACCACTAACTTAAGGTACAGTCAACCTTGTGGAACTGATTCAGAGGCAAACAACGGTAGGGCATAAAAGACCATTCAGCTGTTTATGTTCCTAAGGAGTTCACAGAGAAAGTTATGGTACAGGGATTGGGGGCTCCTATTAAACATGGGACTAGCTACAATTGTGATCAAGTCTTTCTTGTACATCAAGAATATACTAGAAAGACTTATCTAGTTAAACTAGACACAGATCCAAGATTCAACATAATAGGTCTCTTTAAAAAAATGAATGAGGAAAGTGGCATAAAACTCTGAAAGTGTATTCTGGATATCCCAACCCCGTGACATATCACTGATTTGCTATTTTAATTGGAAGGTGAATTGGCTGAGAAAATACAATTCATAGTTTTCTATTAAAGTTTCTTGATGGATAAGATCTGCCTTTCTTTCCAGAGTCATGGGGAGTGATCTAGGGAGATGAATCAATATGATTGACCCAGGAAGAGCTGCTTCTTCCTACCCCTTCTCTTCCCAATCCTCTACCTCCTCACTGTTAAGGTACGGCAGCTCATAGACATAGCCCGGTAGACATAAAATATTTTCAAATTTAGCAATGATCACTGATTTTCTCTGCACTTTTATCTGCTAAACCCATCCTCAAAATCACATTTATGCAATTGAGTGACTGTTCTAGTAAAATGGTACTATTCTCTAAGATAGCTTAGGCTATTACCCAGTAATCTAAGAAAAAAAGTCACTCAAAATCTTTCCAGAGTGCCTCAGAAAGGAACCAAGGACAGCCAACCCTTTCGAATAGAGTCATTTAAGTGACAATTCCACATCATGAGGATAAGTTGCCAAAATCACCTCTGCCTAAGAATGTTTATACCCTTGTAAAAAAGATGAATACATTAAGGTAAAGACTTGCTATTAATTTTTAGTGGTGCTCTGATTTCTATAAATTTTCATTTGCTTTTTAGTAACTTTTAATTTAATGTTGTTAAAAATATTTTTGAGAAATGTTGTGGTCAATAATTCTGCCCTTCTTGACAGAGAACAGCCTATTAAAATCTTGGTTCTGATGGACACTACATATATTAGCTATTATTGTGAATTACCAAATTATGATGGGAAGGGAAATTGTCTACTCTCATCAAAGACAATCCCCTGGAGCTTCAAGTTACTTTGTACCCAACTCACCAAATAAAATTTGGGCCACAAAATTTGCTATCAATTAGCAATACTCAAAGTCTTCTGCATTTACCCAGCTATCAGATTTTCAGTTGTTACTGATCTCATGTATCTAGGAAGGTTAAGAAAAAAGCATATCAGCATTATTGGAAATTCGGTTACTGTTGAAAGTGGAAGATGGCATCATAAATACTTATAATGTTTGCTTTGAATTCTTTGTTCAGAGACTTCTAATGGACTATGATAGATTCAAGTCAGCCAACCAGCCAGTGAATGTGCAGGGATTTGGGGAAGGAAAGAACACATAGAGAATGGATATTATGCTTCCAGGTATATTCAAGCAGGCAGCTGCCATGGGTTGGAAGGTGGCCTTAAAAATCTTTCCCAGACTGAGTTTCTAGAATTCTAAAATTCTGGAGGAAGGAAGGAGAAGACAAAAATGACAAATGACTAGAGTTGGACACTGGTGAATATATCTTGTGGTTAGTATTTTGCAAACCATTTTTGCAGCTCTTTAAAAATGATCTTTCAAAATAATCACCAAAGCCCCCAACAGGCACAGAACACTCTGAAGAAACCGAATGGAACACAACCAATTAAATAAAACTTCACGGACAACAGAAAATTTTTGATATGATAAATGTTCAAAATGAGAGTCAAAGGGGCAGGCTTGGTTCATATTAAACCACTGGCATTCAGTGAAATCCAGCTAGAAAATACATCTTCTATCAGTTAGGATGCAGAAGGGTGAACAATGCAGCTTATTACGGAACAAAGAAAACATAATTTCTAGGAAAGTCACACATTTATCACTCTCAAGAAATATTACTTAAGATGCTAACAGTTTAAATATTACTTAAGATACTAACTGTGCAGGACAGTTAGAAAGCAAGTAAAGGATGACATCTAAGCATGTTAATATTAACTCAATAGAAATCATGAAGTCATCAGACTTTCTTCCTGCAAAGAATGCATGAAGAGACATTACCTCAACTCTTACTTAAATTCGTACAGTTCCAGAAAGCATGTGGACAAGACCTGTGTCTGACATATTTATATCCGTGTCATATCTGCTTTAAGAAAAACATTCCTTCAAAACTCTACACTATGAAAAACTATTTTCAGGAATTTTTATTTGGTCCATTGATCTAACAAGGCTGAGTTCTCAAATCTTTCACCCCCAGTTAAAAATTGGAGCAACAAAACAAAACTCCAGCAAGGCATAAATAAGATATTAAAGTGCATATATACAGTCCCAGAAAAGTTCTGATTGGGAACAGCAAAAATTTCTAGTGCAAAAACTGCTTTTGCCAGCAAAGCTCCCTCTCTGGAATCAAAGGGCTACAGTAAAAGTTAAAATTGAAACAGGTTTAAGCAATGCCTCTCTTTAGTTAAGAGTTAATATATGTGCATGCACCTTGGCTCAAACTATATTCAATCTTGTAAAAGATGAATTTCAGATGACAATTCAGAAACAGTCAGAATTCCCTGATCTGAGGCAGTGCTTTCTCCAGCTGTCCCATAAGCAAGTTCCTTAGGTGTGTCATCAGCTGCAAATGGGGACAAAAACCCCACTTTGCAATATGCTTGCAGCTTGTGGAAAGAGTATTCATAGTCACTTTATCTTGGTTTGTCTTCAGTCTCTTGCTTCTTTTTTTTTTCAAGCCCCATCTTGACTGTATATACAGCATTTTGTGCTTTTGGATCTGAACAGAGACTGGGCATTGTGTTAAGAATTACCTTGGGTTATATCACCATGGCCTTTTGAACATCTGGTTTATCCTTTTGAAATTCATAATGAAGTAGTTCTGCATTTCTCAGTACAATTACACAGAAGAAGGATTATTATTATTTCCCCCTTTCCTTCAAGGATCTAAGTTGAAAGCTCTTAGGAGGACATCCAGGTCACCAAGATTAGCCGCCTGGAAGAGTTCTGGTTGGTCCATCAGAGAAAGTGCAATTCTGAGGGCAGCCCAGATATTCCCAGAGATCGCAGGATGAGGAACTTGCTGCTGATTCCTGCTCTTTCTTTGCAAACTGAGGGCAGTGAGAAAATTGCTGACCGCTTCTCTAAGAGGGTAGAAAAACAGACATTTAAAAATGCAACAACATTCAGAGTTAGCAAATTTAAGAAACAAAGCCGGATTAAATTATCATAGTCTAAAATCCCCTCTGGTGTTTTAGATGATCAGATGAACAACTTTCTGATTCTCTCGTTCCTTTGTGAAAAATCATTGTCAACTGTAGTGAAATCAGAAAATAAAGCAGATTTTATTTTAAGAATGTCATGTGGGAGAGGAAGCAAAATTATTGCTAAGTCATGAATGTATTTGATTTCCCCCTTATCCAGGAATGATTTGAAAACTCAATCCATTTGTAAATGCAATTTATATAACTAGGATTTAAAAGAAAGCATCTGGCTCAACTCAGGTAAAAAATGGTATAATTTTGCCTATTAGGTGACAGAAATATGGGCAGCTGCCAAGGTTGAGTTTGTATTCCAAGCACCTGGGCTTGAATCCACTTATCTGGCTTCAGGCAAATTTCTTTCTTTCTTTTTTAATTATCATTTTAATTTGATAAAACTTTTAAAAATTGGAGTTACAACACTGTATATGATTTGGAGATACAGGGTCACACCCTCATGTGTATGTTACCACACCACACCCACCACCAGGCACCCATAGTTCACCACCGCAGTACACAAATTTCTTATCTTCTCTAAGCCTTAGTTTCCCTGACTATGTGGAGAACAGAAGTAATATTAAAATCTTGTTCCGAAGAGCAGGTGAATTAATTTATGTGACAGTCTTTCTTATCAGGAAGGTAGGCCAATTGTTCTCAAAGTGTGATCTCAGGAACCCTGGGGATCAGCGAGTTCAAAATTATTTTCATAATCATACTGAGGTGTTATTTTACCCTTTCACTCTTATTCTGTTATGAATGTACTGTGTAATTTTTCAGTGACCACAATCCCAGTAGACTGACTGCAGAAGCAGATATGAGTCTGTCTTCTTAAGCTAGATATTATCTACTTCTTAAGCAAGATATTAAAGAAATTTGCAAAAATGGTGAAACAATGCCACTTTCTCCCTGAACATTTTTTTTTGGTTTTGGAAAATAATTATTACAAAATATGTAATTATGTGAACATATAATTAACTTATCATTTTAAAATGAATTTTTAAAAATGGTCTGTTTAAATTCTAGTATAGTAGCTATTCATGGCTATAACCCACATAAACAAAAGCCTTTGTGGTTCTCAATGCAATGTACCTGCTGGGCCTGCCCTCTTCAGCACCCCATGTTGCCAGAAGCATGTATTAGATGTGACTAACTGGTCTTTTCTAAGAATAACAATACACCTTTAATTTGTATCTACTTTATTCTTCTTAAAAGCTTTTCACACATGAGATCTCATTTAATTCTGCATGGTAGTTATTAGTAAGTATGGTAAGAACCCTTGAAAGTGAGGTTGGATTTCTGATTCTAATGCATATGAGCTGGGCATTTGCTCATCTGGAAATAAAAGGCAACTGGGAAGTGATTGTGCAGTTTGTAGCAACCTGGGTAATGGGAGGCAGTGGGTGTTTTAATCACCCCCTCTTCCAGATTTCTTGTAATCAAGCAAGAGTGAAGGATTTATTAATGGATATGCATTGGAGGGGGGGGGTCTGCTTTGAAGGCCTTTTCTGGCTCCATCAGCACAGAATGATGGCTCAAAGAACAACTCTCAGTTCCTCTCATCATCTTAGTCCTGTAAGATCTGGGCCTGTAAGATCTGGGACAGGGGGAAGGTCTTGGACTCCCCTTGTGAACTGGCTGCTTCAAGCCCCCAAGTGTTTGGTAGTGGCCTTTGAGGGATGTGGAGAATAATAGAAGAATTAAGTTGTTAGCCTCACAAGCAGCCACGGGTTTTTCTCACGACAATAGTCTGGAGTCTTTTCTTTTTTCTTTCTTTTTTTTTTTTTTAAAGATTTATTTATTTATTTATACAAGCACTGGGTACAGTCAGAAGCACGGGAGGGTGAGAGAATTCATCAGAGCCAGAGCGGAGAACAGAACAGGTAGAACGATGAAATACATGGCTGAGGGGAGCAGCGGGTGGCAGGAGAGGTCTGCGCGCCATGTGGGACCCTCGCCGGTGGCCAGGGATCGAACCGGCGCTGCAGAGGCTGCAGGCAGCTTCGCAGCCCAGTGCTCAACCGCTGCGCCACCAGGGGAGGCCCTGGAGTCTTTTCTTAACTTGGGAACTCAGAGTCCTTTTGGGGAAGTCAATGTATGTGTACAGTTTTCAAATGTTCCACACATGAATATATTTAAATAGTTCACGTATGTTGTCATGATTAATAAAAAACACATTCATTTAAAGGCATTTCTCTATTCCAGTGGCTTTTACTGGATATACTAATAATAAAAATACTACCAAAAAGGATCAGATTTCCTTTTTTTTGTTAAAAAGTATTCTCACTTTTGAAAAGATTAATATTCCTTGGTCTAAATTCCACTCTGGAGTGCCTACTGACAAAGGAGTAGCATTTTAGGCTACACCTAAGTTTATTTATTTATTTATTTATTTATTTATTTATGTATGTATATAAGAACTGGGGTATAGGCCAGAGATGCAGGGGGTGAGAGGATTCACCAGGGACAGAGTGGGGAACAGAACAGGCAGACTGACTGGAATACACTGCTGAGGGGAACAGTGGGCGAGACAGGAGAGGTCTGCTGCACCATGTGGGTAGCTCCCTGGCCAGCTGCAGAGGCTGCGGATAACTTCACAGTGCTGTGCTCAACCCCTTGGGCAACCATGGAGGCCTTACACCCAAGTTTTACACCAATAATTTCCTCTCCTTATTTTGATCGTATACAGTACTGGGGTAGAACTTGCTTTACACTACTCACAGAAAGTATGAGATGATCAGGAAAAAATATATAATAATAAATAAAAAACCAAAACTAGCAGGCAACTATAAATTGGAGACATTCTGCAGGGGAGCGGGAAGGGGAAGGGTCAAAACAGGGGGCAAGAAGAGTACAAAGGGCTGTGGTGATGGTGCTTGGGTGAATTAATTGGTGGTGGGAATTTTATGGGGACTACACCTGAGAGGAGAAATCAAAGGATATAAAAATGAACAATGATGTAAAATATATATATACAAAATGTTAATAAAAAAGAAAATATGAGGTAACAATCAAGTGTTTAGGTATCTACACAGATACTCCCAAGTTTTGAAGGGGAAGCCCCACAACTTTAGTGGCTGTGGAAGTATTTTTTTTTTTTTTAAAGATTTATTTATTTATTTATACAAGCACTAGGTTACAGTCATAAGCGGGGAGGGTGAGAGAATTCACCAGAGCCAGAAACAGAACAGGCAGAGTGACGAAATACACTGCTGAGGGGAGCAGCAGGCGGCAGGAGAGGCCTGCGCGCCATGTGGGACCCTCGCTGGTGGCCAGGGATCGAATCAGCGCTGCAGAGGCTGTGGGCAGCTTCGCAGCCCAGTGCTCAATCACTGCGCCACCAGGGGTTGCTGCTGACTTTCCTGAGCCACCGCTCTATTGAGGGTTGTTATTTCCTAAGATACACTATACCTCAAGTTAAACTTATTTTTGGAATTCATTTAAAATTTTTGTCTGGGGCCTCCCCTGGTGGTGCAGGCGGTTGAGCGCCGTGCTGTGAAGCTGTCCACAGCCTCTGCAGTGCATGTTTGATCCCCGGCTGGCGGGCGAGGGTCCCACATGACGCAGCAGACCTCTCCTGTCTTGCCCGCTGCTCCCCTCAGCAGTGTATTTCGTCAGTCTGCCTGTTCTGTTCCCCACTCTGTCTCTGGTGAATCCTCTCACTCTCCCGCACATCTGGCCTGTACTCCGGCTCTTGTATAAATAAATAAATAAATCTTTAAAAAAATAAAAAAAAATAAAATTTATGTCTGACTTGATGTTTTCTCAGGAAAAAATATAGTGCTTATCATTACACAAGATTTCCTACATATCACATGACAATAAAAGACTCACAAAGCTCATCTGAGTTGTTCTAAAGAAACCAATTGATCGAAGTGGCCATAATTAACAATAAGAACAAAATATGTACAGGTAAATTTTGGATTATCAGACAGATGAGTAATGATTTTTAGTATAAGCATGTCCCATGCATCTTAGGGGAAATATTCATTGTCAGGTCATACTTACTGATATGTCTAAGTTTCAGTTTAATGGAACATTCTATATTTTATTTGTTAACTCTAAAGTTGGCTTGCTCCTGTACTGGAGATTTTTCTGCTTGAGGGTTAAAAATTAATACCGCATCAGAGGTGCCCATTTCTATATGTCACTGTAGGGTAAAGAAAATGTCAGGCTTTTCTGCTCTCCTGCCATCAGGATAGATGATGGATCCTTGAGGTCCTGAATGCATGCCTGATGGTGAGCACCTGGAATAGGGTGTGGGCAGATGTAGATGGGATTCACCTGGGTTAAGACTGTGCTTTTTAAGGGCGGTGTCACGGGGACGTGAGCAGAAGCCAAGAAGCTGAGAATGAACAGAAGCCGAGAGAGAAGCAGAGAAGGCTGGAGAGCCCAGATAGAGTGAAAACTTGCTGGGGGTTGGGAGGACTGCCAGCCTCCCGGCCCCCCAGCACCCTTGCCTGCTGTACCGGGTAAATCCCAATAAAAGACCTGCATAAACCCACTGAGGGTTCCAGGACTCCTTAACCAGGTCTGCTGGATCAGAAAACCTGCACTGTGCCCAGTCCTGACCTCTACAGTCATTTATCTTCATGGCCTCCTGCAAATAGTTGCCCTACTGACTCATATCTTATACCAAGAAAGTAGTTTATTAGTCCCTTGAGTATTGTTTTCTACACTAAAAAGTTATAATTAAGAAAAGTTTGTCCAGAAGATTTATAAGGTCTTCTTTAATTGAATTCAATTTATACTTGTATATATTTACATCTCTCCTAGTTCCAAAAAAGGACCTAGAGTGTCATAAAATACATGTACATGAAATAACTATAAAATAAGTGAGTAAAAGGGTTAATAAAATACAAAGATAAAATCAGCTTAGGACCATCAGGTGAAGCCAGAAATGCTGTTTGTACAGAATGGACATTGTCAGATCTGAATCAGCTGCTGAGCTGAGAGACCACCCAGGTTCAACGTGGCCCTTTGCACACCTGATATAGAAGGCTCTGCGTGACACATTTCATAATGTCCACACAATAAAACAAACCGGTTGCTCAGGAGTCCCTTAGCTATTCCTCGTTTTGACCTGAGAAAGAGGCTCATAGAGGAAATATTGTAATCTGCGACTAATGTTCTTTATAAGATTCTGTTAGTATAAATTCAACAACCGGTTTCTAAGGCCTCAATATTTGCCAGTGGCACAATGCCCAAATGCAGGTGGAAAGATAATTCTTCAGATGTCAGATGTTGCTCTGACAACATATCTAAATGATGATGATGATAGCAATGATAATCATAATAAGGTGACTACCAGATATTGAACACCTGCTCCGATATTGAACACGTGCTATGCAATTATATTTAACCTGCATAATAATCCTGGAAAGTAAGTCTTTATTTTATTATGCTCTCTTTTTTTAAGCAAGTGAAGAAAATGAAGATCAAAATTATATGCTCAGAGTCATAGAAAAGGCAAGTGACAGAACTGTGATTTGAACCCAAGTTTGTCTGATTCTAAGAGTCTGGCTCTTTCTGAGGGGGAATATAGAAAAACCACACACAGGCTTAGAGATAAGGTCAAGCTTAAAAACTAACCCTTGAAAGCTGACTCAGAACTAAAGCACCCAGAGGGGGAAGGAATGAAAGAGGTGAGAACAAAGGGAAAGAAGCACAATGGACTATGGTGATGGACTATGGGTGATGGAGGGGGGGTGCACTTTGGTGGCAATACCTGATGGGAAGGATCTTAATGTAACCTCAATTAAAAGAATGAATAAAAAAAGAAAAGAAAAACCCTACCAGTTCTCTTTTTTTCAACTATGAAAGCAATACCCATTTATTTAGAAAATAGAAAAAAACAGAAAGAAGAAGAAAAAAATCACCCTTACTTTCATTTAATCCAAAGAAATAAAGATCACTTATGGTTCCTGTTAAGGGAGGGGGTCGGTTCCCATCAACAGGGAAAGGGAAAGAGGACATAGACCTGGATGATAATGAGAAATCATGAAAGAAGAGGACATTTCAAACAACATACACACCATTAAATTTTTTTTCCAATAAAATAAAACCAACTTTATTGGTAAATTAGGTTTGGAAAACTTGGACTCTTGGTTGTGCTTTGCCACAAACTGGCTCGGGAATTTTCTTAAGTTATTTGCTTTTGCTGGACCTTCCCACGCCCCCTCCCCACATTTTTTTTTTTTTTTTTCACCTTACCTGGAAAGTGAAGGTTGGACAGTTTATGTTTCTCAGAGTTGCCCTCGGGGTATCAAAAACTAGATAAGTGGTTGCAACCAGGCTGGCTGCATCAAAATTTCTGCGGGAGAGCTCTGCACCCCCATATTTCACAAAAAACCCCTAAGGTTGCTGATCTCTACAAACTGAAGATCACTGAAGCAAACTGCCTGTTTCCACTGACCTCAGGATCTGAAAGTTCAAAGTTAATCCTTAACAGAATAACAGAAGGGGGAGGATTATTCCCACAAAGGTGTTATTTTTCTGGGAGACAACATTTCAGGTAACTCAAATGTAGCCCTGAGTGTGGTTCGTGGTTCTCAGCGCATTGCCATACTCACCTGTAGGCACCCAGGTTGATGCAGCTGATTCCCAGGTTGTACCTGGATCTGATGAAGCCAGGCTGAATCTCCAGCGCCCGCGTGTATGCTTCCACCGCTTCCTCGCTGCGGTCTCCGTTCGCCAAGGTCGCCCCTAGACGGTTCCATAATGAATAGTCCTGAAGACAAAATTAGAGCTTTAACAGCTAATCCAGTGACAGGGTATTCCCATATTCCTTGCAGAAGAAGGATGATAGCTAAAAATTAAGCCATGAACAGGGACCATGACTTGGAGAATTACTCAAAAATCATTTAAAAAAAATCTTTATGGACGACTTTATGAAATGACTTCATTCATCAAAGAGCAGCTACCATTTGATGCTGTCAGGCAGTTCATGTTTCTATTTTAGATGGTTAAGTATTAACCACAGTAGCATACCATCAGTACTGATCATTTTAAACCATGCAAGGAAATAAAAGTATAGCAGAAAAGTAGAAAAGTAGGCTGTGAAACTTATTTTTAACAAAGAACCCATGGTTTCTTGCTGTGTGCTTACCTCTGGCCGAACAGTTAAGGCAGCATTAAATGCATCTATTGCTCGATTAAATTCCCCGCTCAGGTGGAACAGAACCCCCAGCCCAGTCTGCAGGTCTGGGTCAATCATATCTCCGTTTTGGTGGGCAGCTTCCAGATATAATTCCTTCACTCCTTCCAAAACAGAGCTACAAGTGAAAAAATTAGACTTGTAACCCAAACAGCGTGAACAAAAGTGATTTACCGTTATGATGGCTTAGAAAAATCTTGCCTAAAATATCTTAGCTGAAAGAGAGGACAATTGATAGCACATATTAAAAGATGCCTACTGATTTTCATGAAATATTTTATCATCTACAAATACAGACCATGCTGAGTAAAGACTTTACAAGAAGAATTTCACTGACCCTGTGAGTGTCATTGTAGAAACCCCCGGGGCTAAGTTTCCCTGGGCCTTCGTGAGAGAATTTACCATCTCAATCTATTGATGAGAGATACCAAATCCCCACTTTCCCCACACCTAATTCTCAGGCTTTATGAAATTTGTGCATTGACACTATAATTTATTTTAGGTTAATTACATTTCCAAAACCTTTGGCTTTAAAATATGCCGCTCAGATCAATGTCTGCGAGTGGTCACACAGTAGATCATGTATCCAAAAGTTGCTCTGTCTCAGCATCAATCTTTTAGATCAGTGCTGCTCTTCTAGCAGAATGCTGTCCTGCTAATTATTCTGGAAGTGGTGATGGTGGGACTGAAGCTCTTTAATTACCAGGCGATTAAATGTGTATATCGGTCTTTACTGCCCTCAGTAATTTAATGAAAAGGATATACCTATCAACCGGAGACTTAGACATCCGCCGGGTGAGGCCTGGAGATCCCTTTTTGCTCTTCACAAGATATTTGTACTTTGGGTTTTGCTTAATCCAGCTCTTTAGAGCTTCACAGGCATCTTGCTGATGGCCAGTATTAGTGTAACTCACAGCCAAAGCCATCAAAGCTTTCAAGTTGTTGGGCTGTAATTCTAAGCACCTTAAGAAGGCAAGACAAAAACAAAACAAGACAACAAAAAAAATACACACCAATTTCAGATTTTTTTGAGCCTGAATCTAACAGTTCTTTAGAATATTTGAGATATTAATGAATTAAATGGTGCAAAAGCATTACTAAATTTGTTTATATTAAGTCCCAGGAAAATTATGTATTTAGCATATTCTGAACCAAGCATATTTTTAAAAAGTTAAATACCATCCTGATAAATGCTGGATTTGGTAATTTTAATAAGTGGTTTTAAAACTATAGAAAATATGACTAATCACTGCACATAACTTTTAGGAGTTATATTATCTAAAGAGAAATAGGGTATATCACTATTTTAATGCTGCTATACTACTTATTTAGTAAATGTACTTTATCACAAAACAAATTGACTTAAACTTAATTTGGACATTCAGAGATAAAAAAACTGAACAGTGTTTTCTAAAGGAGAGAGAAATTCTTGTGTTTCCAGACTACTAATGTGGGCTTATAGGCGATATTAGCTATAGCTTTCTCCCTCATGCTATTCCACTGGATTCTGCAAGGGCTTTTCAAAATTTGACATCAAGAGAATTTTCTGGGGGATCTGGTAAAATGCAAAATCTGGTACAGAAGTTGTAGGGTGGGCCTGAGTTTGGTAGTCCCTGGACAACACTGAACAGTGAGTACCCATATTAGGAAGAAATTACATATAAAAACATGTACAATAAATTAAAATACATATGCATAATAAATTTTATTATATATAAAGTTTTTGTTCATTCATTCAGTAATGTATAAAAAAGTACAGGGAAAATGGAAATCAATTTGGTGGCTGGGTTTAAATAAGGGGTCTAATCAAGTAAGATGTGATACATGCAACCCAAAGTAGAGTAGACCCTTAGTCAGGGGCTTGGGAGCTACACTTTCAGATTGCTGAAACTATCTCAGAAGATTCTCCATTGTCAAAGATTACATTAAGATTATGTTGAGTATGTTTTTCCTGAAGAAAACTTTCGAATACTGCAGAAAGCCAGAGGTTAAAAGGAACGCTATTCAGTGAATCTATCTTATGACTGCCTCTCACATAGGCTTTCCTTAGTGCCGATAAATGTCAGTGATTTGTAGATGGCAATACATTGCGATTTAGGGGTGTTATTTGTTCATATGTTCTTGTTTTTCAGAACTAGGTGTAGGTAATATATGGCAGCACTTTGGCCAAAATTTTTTACAACGTATTTAGAAAAGGGTCAATGGTGATAACTGATGGGGAGATTCCTCATGTTACCACAATTAAAAGAGTATATTATTATTTAAAATAATAAAAAAGAATCAAGACAAGTCTGAAAAACAGGCAGTCCATTTACAAGTGTCCACCAAACCCATGATTTTGCACTTAGCTTCATCTACCTCTGGAGGGCGACAATAGCTGCTTGTTCATTTTCATTCTCTGCCTGGGTTATCCCGAGGAATTGCCACGCCTACAAAAAAACAAAACAAACCCCCCAAAACCCAACAAAAAAAGACGTCAACATTGTAATAGGAAGCAGGATCAACCACGTGTTCTCACTGGTTGTTTACTGTGACAGATTCCTCTCTGCAGAGCAACCTGTATCAGTTGTATCTCCTGAGAGGGAAAACTATATGCATGTTTTCACTCAAACCCTCTTATAACAGCTGGGTCAAATCCTCTACCACTACTTCCAAACTCTTCCAGTATTTATTCTGTTCTGTGACCCAATGCTTTGGAGCCCTCAGAATTTCTGAGATTTCATGATATTTTACATCTTAAAATAAAAAGGTACATATATAAAATTATATATTTGGGAGGAAAATGGGTGGGAAAATGACCCAGAAATATAAGTAAGGAGTCTAAAGTTCACAATAAGGAATCTCAGGATGTATAGAATGAAATTAACTTGTCTAAGTGAAAGTCCATTATTAGCAGAGTTCACAAGAAATCTAGAACTAGGAAAAACAAAACAAAGCAAACACCCCCTTCCCCCATAATATGTCTAATACAATCAAGGTCAAATGCATATAACACCTATAAAATGCAATGTAATGAATATATAGTTTATAGCTTCTATTTTATGCTTTCCATTGTATCATAAACATTTTCACTTTTTTGCAAAATCCTCATAATTTTTGATTAAAACTTTCTTGATTAAAACCATGATTAAATTAATTATATTAAATTAAATTAATTTAATTAAGGACTGGATTAAAACTTTAATTGAAACGATCTTGAGTAGATAGCCCATTACTTTTTCAAACAATTCCCTTATTGTTTGAAGTCTATTTGCTATTGTTCTTGCTATTGTTCTAGACCTTTGCTATTGTCAATATGTGAAGAATATTTTCAAGAAAATAACATTTTTCATATTCAGGATGGACATTTTAGATGTAAATTTCTACCTGTATGCTTGTAAGAACAATAATTCTCACACCATTATAAGTGCAATTACATGAGCAAAATCTTTCATTACACACAGTCCTCAAATTTGCTGAAGGTGCAGGTATTAGTGTGAATTTTGTTTGATAAGGTTTGGGAAATACGTAACTCTCCCACCTTGAGAATCATTGTGATGGCCATTTAAAATCAAAACTCTATGAAAACACATAGAATCATCTTAAAGTGAGATAAAAGTTATATTGATTTTCTTCTTTATGGGTTATTACATATACTGTATAAACTCATAAAAATATGGATGTTATGTGCCACTTGTGACAACATGGATGGAATTGGAGGGGATTATGCTAAATGAAATAAAATAGAGGGAGAAAGACAAATATCAGATGAGTTTACTGATGTAGAATATAGTGAAACAAATCAAAGGAACTAGCAAAACTAAACAAAACAAAATCTAGAAATGACTGCAGAATTGAGGCTGCTAGAGGGGGAAGGATGGGTGGTAGCAAAGTGTGGTGTGGGCAGTAAAGGGATACTGGTGCTCTGGGGTTTGTTTATGTACATCTGAGGAGGTGTGAATCATATACAGTGACACAAACCAATGTTACCTAAAAAAAAAAAAATGTTTCCCCCTCTCCAGAATATCAGTGATACTTTTTAATCTCAGAAATGTATACAGAGAAACCCCTGTTTTGATTTCACCATTCACACATCTTAGAATTATTTGTAAGAAATGACTGATGAAAGATCTGGGGACTTCTTGCAAGCATTTGGACATGCTGTCATTTTCACTGTCCACAAATTGTCCATCATCTTAACCTTGTGATCACCTAGATTCAGTAGCTCTGGGATCCATTAGTGACCAAGTGTCACTAATAAATATAGGATAAAAATGTATAGATTCTTTTTAATCTTCTAAGTTTGTGTCAAATGATAGAATATACATGAAAATACTTTATAAACACATAGCACTAGGAATGTAAGATGACATTATTATTTTTTGGGGGGTGGCCTATAGTTTTTTATTAATACAGTGATTTTCTCCTTTATAATGATTCAGGTATCATTTTGTAAAAATCCAATATTTTGGTTCAGAATCCCAACATTTAAGTCAATATCATTTCACTGTCAAGGTATTGACTAACAAGATACTAGGAGCTTTAAGTAGTGATCAGTTTACTCATTCTTTCTATAAAAATTAAGTATAGACAATTATACTAATGAAGGCTAAATTTGTGTGAGACACCGAACTGAGCACATTATTTGTATGAACTGATTCATACAATAAGCATTCAATAAGATAGTTACTATAATAGTGATTTCTATTTTACAAATGAGAAAATGGAGTTAAGAGAATATAGATGACTTGTCCTAGATCGCATGGCTCATGGTTAACTTGAAGGAGAGCAGGGATTTGAACCCACAGTTAGAACAGCAGAGCCTAAAGGCCTAACCACTATTTTGCACTGCCTTCTCAGCACTGTAATTATAGACCTGGCTCTAAAATGTATGCAAATTGTTCTGGGACTATCCCTTTTAAAATGTTTCCTGAAAATTAATTACAAGATGAAAAAGATGTCATTATACCTGCCATTACTTTATTACAGACCTTTGCAGGTTTGGAAACAGTGGATCAAGAAAGGGCTGCAGAAGCCTCTTGGGTGGTCTCCCAGGCTTTGCCTGCCATCACTAGTCACACCTCAATGAAAGGGACTTTTCTGAGGTGCAAAACTGATCCTCTGTCTCTGATCAGTGGAGTCCCCTAATGGATCCGCAGATTTTTTAGGATGAAGATCAAACCTCTGTCTACCTTTCTTGCTGCCTCCCTGCCATTCTCTCCCAACAACTTCCATGCCACATGCATGTTCTTGCCTCTCTGCCCACCCAAACAATTGTTTCAACTGCAACTCAACTCCCCTGCTGTCTTTAATTAACCCTCTCTCTTTCGAATTTCAGCTTTGGTATCACTTGTAGGAGAAGGCTGGGCCAAGAGGCCCGCTTTCTGCTCTCCTAGCATTCTGTGCATACTCTGACATGGCATTTATTACATTTCATTGATTTATTGACTTGTCTTTCTAGATAAACCACAAACGTGTCTTTTCAATGGTTCCATTTTTTCCAGCTCTTCAATATTTTAAGCCGGTGCCTCGCACAATTAATTCCTGAGATATAGTATGTGCTCAATAAATGTTGAGTGAGTAAATCAAAGTTGATGTGTGGTGTGATTTTAAACCTGGAGGAAAACTATACACTGCCCCCTGATACTGGTTGAGTTTCCCGGTTGGCAATTTTGGATTTTCTTTTCCTATCCCCATCCTTTATTTTTGGACGCCATAAATACTACAGGTTTGGTTGAAAAGCAGGTACCTATTTAACCTTCAAACTCATAACCTAAGCCAGGTTAATTCTCTTGGGAAACTTTGATTGATAAAGGGCCAGCAGCTGGCAAAGTATAATCTGTCCCTCATTAACACATGCATCCACTTTCTGAAATGAAGTAGAAATGACAACCTCTGCATCTCCAGGGTCCTGAAGAATTGCTGCCTCCATGAACAGGATGGTGACTGGCAGGTCCCCTTCCTTCAGCCTCTTTAGGCCTTCTTCAAATGCTCCAGGCCAGTCCTTGAAGGGGTTTTCAGTGTGAAAGTAATATCCCTACAGCACAGAAGGGAGCCATCAAGTTATTTCTTCATTACACAGTTCTTTTTCAATTTGAATTTAACAATTCAATTAGTTAAATTTAAATTTGAATGTTTGTTTTGTTCTTATTATGAATACAGTACATTTTCACTGATCATGGCAATATTTAGAGTTTATTTCTTCCTTCTCATATTTTGTTGTTACTTTTTTTTCTTTTTTTTGCTTTAACCATTTCCCCCAAGATTTTAGACATACTGACTTCTTGGAAATATTTTTTCAAAGTGCTGCCACTCACCTCCCTGAAATGTTATTGTAGGGTAAAGAAAATATCAGGCTTTTCTGCCCTTCCGCCATTAGGATAGATGATGGATCCTTGTCCTGAATGCATGCCTGATGGCGGGCACCTGGAGTAGGGTGTGGGCATAGGTAGATGGGATTCAGCTGAGCTAAGACTGTGCTTTTAAGGGCGGCGTCACGGGGGGACGCCAGCAGCCCCAGCCAGCAGCAGCAGAACCCGAAAGAGAAGCCAAGAAGCAGCAGAACGAACGCTAGAGAGCCCAGATAGAGTGAAGACTTGCTGGGGGCTGGGAGGCCTGCCAGCCTGCCAGCCCCCCAGCCAGCACCCCTACCTGCCATATGCCTGGTGAACCCCAAATAAAACACCTGCAAAACTACTGAGGACTCTGACTCCTCCTTTACCCGATCTGCATGGGATCAGAAAACCTGCCTTGTGCCCTGTCCTGCCCCTTACAGTTATATACCCCATGCTGTGCATCTGCCTATGACACTGGCCCTTTGGGAGCTGCAAGTCATGGTAATATTTCAGATTTATTTCTGCCATTCCTTAAGCTAATTTTTGCCCCACTGGGGCTATCTCATCATTTTTAGAATGGGTAAAGTTTTAGATTTTCGTATTTCAAAAATTTAAATGATACAGACTATACAAATACCCTTCTAGTATTTTTATAATAAACTGCTACTATATATACCACTTTGTGGCTTAAATTCCAATTAATAGCTTAATTGAAATTATACTATGCTATAATTTAATCACTTCTCTTGGACTTGTACACCCACTCAGGTTACTTATTTATTTTTTTTTAATAAGTAAAGTTACAGGGCCTCCCTGGTGGCACAGCGGGTTGAGCACCATGCTGTGAAGCTGTCCATAACCTCTGCAGTGTGGGTTTGATTACCGGCCAGCCAGGGAGATACCCACAATGTGAGGCAGACCTTTCCTCTCTCACCCACTGCTCCCCTCAGCATGTTTTTGGTCGTCTGCCTGTTTTGTTCCCCATTCTGTCTCTGGTCAATTCACTCACCCTCCTGCGCCTCTGGCCTGTACGCCAGTTCTTGTATAAATAAATAAATCTTAAAAAAAAAAAACACAGTTTTTTAAAAAAAGGAAAGCTATAGTGAAAGCCTCACTTTCCAATCTTTGCATGGATATTACTTAAGATAGACTTCTACAGGGAATTATGAAGCTAAAGTCTACAAATTATTTTGAGGTCTTTGATATGTGTAGCTGAATTGCTTTTGAGAAAGTTTGTGTCAAATTAAACTCTTATTGGAAGTATCTGAGAGACATTATTTGTTGCAATTTTACTATCAGATTATCACTAAATCCTTTGAATTTGATATGTATGAATAAATTGGTTTGTTGATGCTGACACTAAAATTTAAAATAGGTTAAATGGAGATCTTCCTTCTCTCCAGATGCTTGGCAAGACAAAACCCCTTATGAAAAGTCAGAGGGAATAGCACCAGCTCATGTAGTGGTGTTGCAGATAGTGGGGTCCCAGAGTAAGGGGTTCAGGACTCAGTCATGCCTCAGATGCATGGATTATAGCCCAGAATCTGTCCCTCTGCATCACTGTACTTCTTTGCTAGTTTTGATATTTTAGTGGAAAGGATATTTTTTAAAAATGAGATGGTTGTTCTGATTTTATGAGATTGCCTGGATTACTACTGAGGGCAGAGAATTTTGGGAGGAAGAAGACATTTAATGGCCATATAGACAGCAAATTGCTTCACATCAGAACCTGTTTATCATCATTTCCCCAGCATCTAGAGCAGACACTTGATAAATATTTGTTGGATTGAACTAAATATCATGGAAGTTATCCAGAACTGAATATTGAGGCTTCTTCTACTACAAAATCCATAATATAAAGATTTTTTTCACCCATGTAAGAACATTCTACATCTTTCTATTTTCAATTCATTTGAATTTATTTCTTAAAATTTTTTCCCCCAAGTGTTTTTAAAAGCACAAATCCCAGGGCAATGGGAATTTCCTGGGCATTGTGGCATTCACACATTTGCTGGGGTTCTTATTAGGGGAATGGTGCTGAGTAATACCTTTGGGACTTGACCTGGTTATGTGAAGGGCATCTTTTCCACTGTGTTTCCTTCCTAGCTATATAATGAAACACCCATGAGATGCAGCCTTAATACACACCCCCTGCCCACCCCCTGCCCATCACTGCTGCTGTTAGCTCTCCCACAAGGCTCCTGTGCCTCACTGACCAAAAACATTGTGCAATTAGCCCAGTTGTTGTTTCAACCCACCCTCACTGTCTGTAAGTTTAGGAACTGGCCATCAGTCATATCCAAGCTGTCAAGCTGTCTTGTCTTAACATTGATAAAAATAAAGGTATCCCATTGCAGCTCTGCTGTCTTAACACATTGGATAATTACATTGCTTTTGTCTACCACAATTTCTTCTAGGTCAGACTGACAGTTTATTTCTTGGATTTTTCACAAAATGTTTGTCAACTAATTTATAAAAATATGTTCCAGAAAGGTTGAGAAAACTGATCAGCATATATAAGAACAAACTGGTCACCTTCTCACTGGCTGAGATTGTAACTTGGTTCTGGGCTTCTTGGTTCTCAGATATCCAGTTCCTTCGGGCCATTTCCTCCCATTCTGCTTGCATCTTGTCCCAAAACTCTGTATCTGACTAGAAGATAGGAAAAACGAAGAGAGAGAGATTTAAGAACATGCTATATCATTTAGCTTATTTCCTGAAAGACAGTTTTCTTCATAAATCAAAATAAGTTCCAGGAGGAATAAAATGCTCAAACTGTCCATATCCAATGATACCTCATGGTTGAAGAGCCTCCGAGGGCTGTTCAGTGATCAAAGTGTGAACTGGATTAGTTGTGAGTTTGTCCAGCAGGAAAATAACTACCATATGAAGAACCAAGACCACATATGTCAAATGTAGCTAGAAATGCATTACTCGAGCAGTTTGAAGTGTGGGAACCCACTTTAAGAAGGTCTTTCCTAGAGTGGGTCTTATGATGGCATGAAGAGTTGGAACAACAGCTTTGGGACTGACTGGGCAGTGACTCGGGCAGGCAGCTGGCCATGGGCAGGGAGACTGACATCAATCAGTCCTCCTCTGTGTCAGCTCTTGTGCTAGGAGGAGCCTGAGCTTAGAGAGTTAGGGTGGCAGAGCTAGGACTGCACAGGCTCTGAACTCTTTTTGCCTTCCGAGGCTACACTCATCATGTTATGGCAACTTGACCTTTGATACTAAAGTAAGAAGGGTCTTGGCTTTGAGCGTGATCTTGACTGCGTCCTCTTTAAGGCCTCACCTATGGCAGTATTATTTATTTGGTGTTTATTTTTCCCTCATTTCTTATTTTTTAGAAATTAATTTATTTTCTTACATTGTTGTTAATTTTTGGACATTACTTGATTTCACCCCTCTGGTGTGTTCCTGTAGTTTTCCCAGCACCCTAGCAGCCAGTGAAGTGTTACCAAAGTCCCTTGTGCGCCTCCCTCCCCAGTTTAGGCCCCTCCCTCTTCCCCTCCCCTGCTGTATGCCTCAGAGCTAAGGTCAGGAAGGATTTTTTTTTTTGAAAAACACTGTTTCGTGTTTTCCTTCCTGTAATTGCTCTTTATGGCTTCCAAATGGAAAGCCAGACTGTTTGCTTTCCTTTACTTCAGGGGAAGTGTGTTTTTGAATTGAAGCAGAATTTTTCTACAAGATCTACCACTGCCTGTAGTTATTTTATTAAGTTTGACCAGAGTCCTTTAGGAGTCCTGTGGGGAGGAATATGGGAAAAGCATTTTAAAGAACTTAAGAGAGAAAGGGAAGCTTTCTAAGGGTGGGGCAAAGGAGGGTATTTCTGAGATGAACAGGAGACAGGTGTTTAGCTTTTAGGTATTTTGCTAGAAAATATGTCTGACCTCTGACCTCCAAGAGTTCTGAGGGTATAACTGGGGAGAGAGAGGGGATGACATGAACTCGGATCCTCACATGATAGGGAAATAGAAATTGAATTTCAAGGAAGCACTTGTGGCTTAGGCAGCTGTGAGCAGTCACAGTGACTGACAGGAGGTAGAGATCATGCCCCCCTTTTTTTTTAAGATTTATTTATTTATGCATACAGAGCTGGGGTACAGGCCAGAGGTGTGGGGGGTGAGAGGATTCACCAGAGACAGAGTGGGGAGCAGAACAGGCAGACTGACCGAAGCACAATGCTGCGAGGAGCAGTGGGCGAGACAGGAGAGGTCTGCTGCGCCATGTGGGTTGCTCCCTGGCTAGCCAGGGGATCGAATTTGTGCTGCAGAGGCTGCGGATAGCTACATAGATTGTGTCTTAACCCCTTGTGCCACCAGGGAGGCCCCCATGCCCTTGTTTTTTGACACCACAGAAACCTGCCAGGTTTGGTGCCTGAAACCTAGAACACCTGCCAGTTTAGCAAGAGAGGTGCTTGGAAACCACTTTTTTGAAGAAAGCAAAGAAATGGGTGTGGAACATCTGAGTCTAAGATTCATTCTTTTTGCTTGCAAATCTGTTTCTCGGATTCAAATTCACTATTATTAATTAATTGATTCTCTTACTTAGGAATAGATTAGCATCTAAAAGATTATGTAAGTCATTTGTTATATGGATGATCAGGCTTCTGATTAGCCACCAAAACCTTTTAAATTCATAAGCCACCAGAAATATAGCGCGAACAATCTTACAAAACATAGCTCCTCTGTGTGTTAAAGGAAGCCTTCTGAGTTTACAATGTTGAAACTCATCTCCCTTCTACCATAGTGGACAAGGGGTCACCCTCATTCTCTTCCTCTAGCTGCCGGGCTACAAAAGCAAGCATTCACCCCACCCTGTCTTCAGTGGTGATCCCTGGATTAGTCTACTCTGTAAAGTACTACAGACTGAGTGGATTAGACAACATATTATTTCCTCTTGATTCTGGAGGCCAGAAGTTAAAGGGCAAAGGGTTGGAAGGATTGGTTTGTTCTGAAGCCTCTCTTCTTGACTTGCAGACATCTAAGTCTCCTTCTAATTCTTGCAGTCTCATGCTCACGCCTGGGTGGTGGTGGCTCTGTGATGGGTATCTTCAAAGTTGCTCTGAATGATAAGTACAACCTTATTTCTTCTAGATACAAACATTCAGGGAATAAAGCCTGGCCCCATAAGATGAATCCCACGCAAGCAAACAGTAAGGTCTTTTTTCCTCCTTTGTCTTGGTGTAGGGGCAGGAAGACCACAGAGCAGGTTTTCTAATGCAGCAGACCGGGTAGAGGAGGAGTCAGAGTCCTCAGTGGCTTTTGCAGGTCTTTTATTTAGATTTACCAGGCATATGGCAGGCAGGGGCGCTGGGGAACCGGGAGGCTGGCAGTCCTCCCAGCCCCCAGCAAATCCTCACTCTACCTGGGCTTTCTCCGGCCTTCTCTCTGCTTCTCTTCTTCTCTCGGCTTCTGTTCGTTCTTGGCTTCTGCTGGCGTCCCCGTGACGCCGCCCTTATAAACTCAGTCTCTCAACCCAGGTGTCCCCACTCCAGGTACCCGCCATCAGGCATGTGTTCAGGACCACAGGGTTCCCTCATCTATCCTAATAGCGGGAGGGCAGAAAAGCCTGACACCTTTTCCTTACCCTACACTTGTCTACAATACTTGTTCTACCACTGAAATGGGCCCTGTCTCTGTAGTGGCAGCTGCCCCTTTTTAAGGGCTCAGTGCACGCAGCAAGCATTTTACAGTGTGTCTGAAATACTGGGAGCCTAAGGAACAGTCCCATTTACCCAGGTTAAGGTTAGAAATAAAATTCAAATTTTCCTTTTCTTCTTCTTTTTTTTTTTAATAGAGGCATGTTTTATTTATTTATTTATTTGTTTGTTTATACATGCACTGGGTACAGTCAGAAGCGCGGGAGGGTGAGAGAATCCACCAGAGCCAGAGCGGGGAGCAGAGCAGGCAGAAGGACCGAAGTACACTGCTGAGGGGAGCAGCGGGCGGCAGGAGAGGTCTGCGCGCCATGTGGGACCCTCCTCTGGTGGCTGGGGAGCAGCCGGGGATCGAACCGGCGCTGCAGAGGCCGCGGGCAGCTTCGCAACCCAGCGCTCAACCGCTGCGCCACCGGGGAGGCCCCAAATTTTCCTTTTCAATGAATTTTTCTAGTAGAACACCAAATGGTGCAACAAAACTACCTCAAATATACAAAAGCAATGACTACATAAAAGACTAGAAGGAAATATGGTGCCATATTAAGAGTAATCTATCTCTGAATGAAGGGATCATGGGTGATTTTTTTCCCTGCTTCTTTATAGTTTTTTGTATCTCCTGAATTCTCTGAGTATGCATTGTTGTTATCATTTTTTAAAGGGTAACAACAATAGTAAAAAGAAAAGGAAATTATCTTTCCTTTTCAAAAATGCCATAAGCCTGAATTTTTAGATATTTAGGAGCTTGATGACAATTTTTGGAGGTTCATTTTCCTGAATAGTTTTTCAAAGACAAAGGTTCAGCTTGTCTGTATAGAGACTAAGAAATATCTATCCTGTGAATTTTATAATGTTTACTGACATTCTCAAGCCCCCTGGTGGGTGTGTAATGTGCCAATGCCTTCAAGTACTTTCTATTTCCAAGGTTTACATTCCCCTAGTGAGGTTCCTTGGAATATAAAATTATTATAAGTCTTCTGAATGAAAGGATGAAGATTTTATAATGTGTACATCTGGGTTACAAAAGGATGCATCAGCTTTCCGGCAGTTTCAAATTAGAACAGTGGATGCATAAATAACTACTATGGAAAACAGACAGAGCCTTTGCTAAGGTGGGGTTGCCAGGCTTTCATTTAATGAGATACACCAGGGTTTAATGTTACCACTTAGAATTAAGTTCTGCTGACTAATTAAAGTGCACAGCACAGTTTCACTTAATTACAGAATACCACTTTTAGCACAATCAATTTTCATCCAGTCTCAGAATCCAGACTTCATTCACGTAACTGCACGTATCTGTAATTAACTCTTCTTTTTTTTCTACTTCTAATCAATTTCAGAGAAACCTGAAACAAATTTGAATTTTTTAGACATGACGGAGGGGTTTTATGTAATGATGATTTTCTTAGCAGTTCTAGGATTTTATAAGTTGATTTTTATACTCTTCAGGTAATATATTATCTGCTCACAGTGGCAATGAGTTATTGTTTGCAATGCATTTTCATTTTTAAAAATAGCTTTCTGATTATAATGATGGCACATATTCATACTACACTTGCGGTATGAGACAGCAGCTTTCTCCTCAGATGGCCTTGGAAATAAATTCTGGCTCCATCACTGACTTTCTGCAAGTCCTTTAAACTCTGTAAATCTCATTTTCCTTATCTTTAAAATGAAGATTTAATGATGATCTTGGTTAGTCATTATAAGGTTAAAATGAGAAAATACATCCGTGGCATAAAGCACAATACTGTCAATGCTCATAAATATAGACATGCTTATTAGTGTTTCCATGCCATTGAGAAAAATAGAAAGAATGAAACCAAAACCACCCACAACTTCAAAACTCAAATATACATCTTTGAGTATTTTGGTGTTTTTGTTTGCTGTAAATACATATCCATTTCTAGATATCATCCCTCTTTTCTTTTAAATCCTTCCTTTTAACCTAATCACTCAAAAAACAGGAGCAAAATTTGAAGGTTGTGGTAAAAAT